AATAGAGTAAAACATGTTCAAACTAACAACAACCACAAAAACAAAAAAAATAACACAATATATGTATATCTAAACTATAATATAATGAATTATAATCAATCAAACATACAAAATGTCCAAACTAACCAACACGGTGAATGCTACCAAAACGCCGTTTTTAATTATCCAAATTGAACTGAATTCGACTCGTGACAAAAAATATTTGCGCGACGTCTAAATGACAAACGACCGATTAACCAATTAGGCATTCCAACGACCTGTCAAACAATAGGTGCCAGTGGGAAATTCTTGTATATCTAAGGGGGTAGCGACGCTATTTTTATTCAAAGTAGTAGTCGCCAAGCCTGCCAATTTATGAAGAAATGAATAGGTTGGTTTTTTAAATATTATTTTTATTGTGTTTGACATAAAATATTTAAATGTAATCCATTATTCATGATTTTACGTAAAGTAGATAGAATACACCATATGTCGCCACCCTTAGATATACCAAACCTGCCCACTGGTAATTCATTTGTTTGGAATGCCTAAAGGCGGGTACAGATCTGAGCACGTACGCGTATGAGGCAAGCCGAGGACGCATGAGCATGCAGATGTGGACGAGCTTCCGAGGCGCGGCAAATTGTGCCGTGCGGCCTCGCCCCGATTCGTTTGTTGGCGGTACATCAAAGAGAGGCAATGCGCAGTACGTGCTCAGTCTGGACGGGGAATTTATACCGAATAAATTATAGCGAGTTTTTAAGGTTTATTTCGCATAAAGTGAGGAAAAGGTTTTGCTTCTCCTGAATGTATATAATCAGCGATATAGTTTATGGAGAACAACACAAAATAATAAAACAGGCACTCAACTACCAGACCTCCATTTTTGTTTAAATTATACTAGTGTTCTGGGTGTACGGTTCCGTGCTCGCGAATTCACTGGATCAGTAGCGAACAGTGCCTCGTGCGTCTCCATTCGTGTCTACAAAATGCGCCGCACGAGGCGTTCGGTTCGGCCTCGGCTTGCCTCATACGCGTACGTGCTCAGATCTGTACCCGCCTTTAGAGCTCTTTCACACGAGGATACTGTATGCGAGATACGCGTATCCGAGATACAGAATCGCAGTCGAAAAGTTGGGCTGCTGTATCGAATTCACGCATCTCTTCAATCGGTATTAAAATAGTAGCATTGCCGTGCATATATTTTTGAATTATGGATCTAGAAGAGTGTATTATACTGAAGTATATAATACAGTGACACACATAAAATGAGCATCGTATGAGATTTTTTTCTAAATGCTGTAGATGAATTTTGACTTTGCCATCTTCTGTTGCTTTAAAAATGATAACGAATGACATGCAAATTGACAATCACGTGATCTTTTTAAATGTCCAAAATAACATTTTTTGTCCACGACCACTTAATAATAAATCAATATTCTACCTCCTAACTAAAAGCATATAGTACCCATATATCACGGAGTGAATTATGATAATTCACGCTTTTGTAATTCTGGCACATTCCGGTAGATAACTAAAGATAGGCGATACTTTTCATAACGATATTTTCTAGATCGAAAAATCTCAAAATCTATAAATCGAAAAAACAACAGTTAGTTACATATGTTTAATAAAAACTTTCCATTCTACACTTAACTTTTATTTAATAAAGAAACCATAATGGTCGTGGACAAAGTATAGTATTAGACTCGCAATTTATGGCCATTATTCACTCGGGTGACTAATGGCTACCATAAATTGCTCGTTTAATAATATACTATTTTTCTAAAAATTGCAAAAAATGGTATTAATTTCATAAATTGCTTAATAAAAAGTTGCTTATTATGAAAATGTTTACCCATATAGCCCGTTAAAGGTTAACCTGACATAATTTTTTAAAATGTTACTTTGTACTAAAATGTTTTAAATAATGTTTTCTCATACAGTTTAATCGATTAAACTAGATGCACTTGATACCCTTGAAAAATATCCTGCGCCTATGACATAATCTCCGTTGCAAAAGTATCTATGTCTGAATAAAAGGTCCATATATCGTAATAGTAATTCGGTATGCGGCATACGCATTCAGCCTCCGCGGCTGGAGGTGCCGGGATGCAAAAATTCCGTATCGCGATACTGTATGCGTCGCCCATACCGTGTGAAAAGGTCCATTTGAATATATGGTCAGCCTGAATCTCGGATACGCGTATCTCGCATACAGTATCTTCGTGTGAAAGCGCTCTAATAGAAGCGCAAAAAAATGTCACGTGAGCTGTTGCTGGATGGGAGAAATTGTTTTGACGCGGCGTAAATGAAATCTGAATAGACTTTAAATGTTAAATGGCTTATTATGAACGTTGCAATCAAGTAGGCTGGAACTGTCATTTGAATACTTGTTTAATTTGACGTTTGTCAGTGTATGATTTAGAATATAAAAAAAATAGTGTTAACCCGTTCGTTATACCTGTGTTTTTCAAGTAAAAAGAAAATGTCAGAAGAAATGCAATCAACACCTCCCGAATTGCTAGAAATAGCGAAATCTTCGATAGAAACCTTAATACCTACGAAATCGAAGAAAGTACGATTATGCTTACACAAAATTTGTGAAATGGAGTGAAGAAAATCACGTATATTTTTATTCAGAAAATGTTCTGATCGCATATTTTACTAATTTGTCAAATTCAAAAGTTCAACAATGTGGTCGCAGTATTCAATGCTGAAATCAGAACTAAATATTAAACATAATATAAAAATTGAAAACTATTCAAAATTAATTGCCTTCTTAAAACGAAAAGGTGATAATTACAAACCGAAGAAGTCAAAAGTTTTTCTAAACAGGAGTTTGATAACTTTCTTAAGAATGCACCAAACAAGAGATATTTAGCAACTAAGGTAGGTACATAATTTTTTTAAATTGTTATTTAGTTTTACAGATATTCTATTAATTTCAGTTTTTTAATTTAATTATTTTTATCCATACTTTTATTTAAATGCTTGAAGAAAAAATAGTATATGTCACTCGGATTAGAAGGCCCATTGGGTCTATTAAATAAAGAAAAGTATTACCTTGCAAGTCATAACTTATAAGAAAAAGCTGAAACTTCTAAGTAGAAGCTATTACTTATTTTTATTTGAATAAAAACTAGAACTCTCTCGAAAGTAAATACCAGAAAAATATTTTGAATTTTGAGTAATTACTTGTAAGTAAAACAAGTAGGTACTTATATTTATAAGTATTTACTATTTTTGTTGCGTATGGCGCATGAAATACATGGGAACGCAAACGCAGCTCTAAACAAAAATTCATACTAAACAAAAGTCATGATATGATATAATGTTGGCCTTCTACTCCTAGTAACATAATATACTATTAAAAAGTCGCAAGGACAGGACTGTATGGGGTGCACAAAACAGCTTGGAGGGCCCATGCGGGCCGCAGGTTGAGTATGGCTTGGTTAAACAATTCGAAGGTAAACCTTAAATAATAATCAAATTCTGTTGGACCTTGGTTTGGATTAAAGAACATCTTAGTATTGCAGGTAATGAATCTGTAGCAACATTGCTAAAGCTTGTAATTTGAAACAATAGTTATATAGATATTAACGTTTATTAAATTAAGGTATCATATACATCCAAATCTCCCAAAAAATATTCCTTAAATCAATTATTATTGACAGTTTACTCAAAATATTAAAATAAATATTTCAAAAACTATACTCTAAGATTATTAAAATAAAACTTTCTGTGGTAAAGAGGAAAAATATTTATTAATGACAAAAAAAAACTGCAATGCTGCTATCTTAAATGTGAACATACAGAAAGTCCAATTAAATATTATTACAAATAAATTAGAACTGAGGATATGAATCATAATAACAAAGACGGATTCAGGGAACCTCAAAACGTAAAAATCCGTCGAAAACCGAGGTCGAAAAAAATCATGATTCCTATATTTTGCGTATATCTGTATACAGATAGGAAAGTAAAAATGGCGAACAGCTCTGCGATGTTGAGCGGCACTACAACGCATGCGCATTATGTAGTTTTTGGTCAAAAAGGCATAGAAAATTACACATTGCATTATATATTGCCTATATCAATTATCAGGGCTGGATGACACCTCCTCGGCTTGCCTATTTTTATTACGATATTTTCTTATCTAAAATTAATTTTAATGAAGCTATATCGGTGATATTCTGTGATTTGACTAAGGCGTTTGATTGTGTAAATCATACAGTATTGCTGCAGAAACTTTGAGTTCACGGAATCGAAAAGGAAGCGCTGATAAAATCTTATCTTTCAGGACGTAAGCAAATGGTAAGAACTATTAAGGACTCAAATTTTAGGTACATAAAAGTTGAGGAGTCCCTCAGGGTTCTGTTTTGAGTTTAATTTTATTCCTTCTTTATATAAATGACAACTTTAGATTGCAACTATTGCAAGTACTATTGCCGCGTTTGAGAATCCACATCGGATGCATTTTTTACATCTCGAGCGTTTTTTTATCCACATCGGACACATCTACATCTGCGTTTGTTTATCCCAGATGTACCTGTTCAGATTACATTTTTTACATCTCGATTTGAAATGAGATGTGAATGAGATGTTCGTTCCATGTCAGAAAGTAAGTGTTCTGTGAAGCCTTGTTTGTCAATTTATCCTTTGTTTATGCTAGCATGAATATAAAAGTGATTAGTTTGTATAATTTTTGTTTATATTTCAAATTTAGGTTGATTTGTAGTCTCAAAAGTCAAATTTAATAAGTATAAACTTCTAACTTGTCATTGACATTTTATCACGTGACCAAATAAAGTCTTTAGAGCGTTTGTTTATTACATCTACATTCAGATCTAATTCTCTATCACGTGATAAAAAATTCACAACATCTCAGATGCATCCGATGTGGATTCTCAAACGCGGCATATATCACTCTACTTGCTGATGACACTATTTTATGACATAGCAGTAACTCCTGTTTATAACACCATCACGTGATATTAAGAAAATCAAGACTAAATATGGAAAAAATACTAACCTCTATAGAATGTAATATAATATTCAATATACTGATAAAATTTATGGGGCATTGGCAAAGTCGTCCGCAGTTTAGTACTTGGATGTGTGAATATCCAAAGGAAGCTCCATCCATAGGGGGCTTCATTAATATAGAACACACAGCAATTTTATTGGAATCACAGTAATGTTCGCTATCGTTAATTTTAAACAAATCCATTGTGTTTCTATCTAACACTTCGAAATCAGTCATGTACATTGTCACGCACCCCCATTATTTTGTATAATTTATTAAGTAGGTATGTAGTGATTTACAGTAACTTTGTTTTGTCAAAAAAACTCAGTGAACTATATTTTCTGACTAAAAATTATAAATTTTAACTAGGAAATGGTGCCCTATTTTGAGAATAGGTCATGATTGCAGCCTTCAATCGCATTGAAAAAATACTAGATTTAAAGGACTCGTTAAGGATACAACCTGTTATCTCTGGATACAACAGTGATTGATATGGCTGTTAATTTTGACATCACATTACTCATCAGCACCTGAGTGTTTGTTTTTCAAGTCGTTGATCATATTGGTTAGTCTTTCCGCGTTACATCTTTGTATAATGATCAAAATCCAAATTAACATTACTAAACATCTGGACAGGATATGTGATTACTGATGAACTCTAAAGTTACTCAAAATTTAATGTATATGATGTCCATTACAATTTCACAGGACAAAAAAGGTAAATTTGAAATGAATGTTATGTTCATTTACTTTTTTAGTTACTTTATTATTAATACTAACAAAATAATTAATACACTCTTCAAAACATTAATACTGGTACAACTATATACAGGGTGTGCCTAATTATTATGTCATGGCATTTATATGACAAAAATTTAAAAAAAAATTAAGAATATCTCTTGACGATTTTGATTAAACTTGGGGTTTGATTGTAGTACTAAGAGAGTAATTTAAAACTAAATAGATTAAAATTATAAAGTGCAGTGGCTTCACAAAGGGCAACCTAAAATTGATATTTAAAAATTAACACCATTTATCGTTAAAAAAAACAAATTAGTTGTTTATATGAAATGTTAGTCAAATAGGCAATGGAATTATCATTTTCAATACTGACATGACGGAACACCCTGTATACTTCGAAATAGTGAGAATACATTTTATGTTAATTTATCAAAAATACAATTTTCTTATTCAAAATAACAAGTCTTAGCTCTTTGGTTTCTTATTTTATCTATATTAAAATATCAAAAAGGTTTTTAGGGGGTTTATTCTTATATCTAGCAAACAAGTAAAATGGGTCATCTACATGAGCAAAGGTGCAAGAAATTCAGCAGTTAAAGATTACATATAGAACGCGTAAAGTGAAATCCTTGCATATACCCAAAATATCAAATTTAGATAATGCTGTTAAAATGGCTGTTACGTTATATTCTACAAAATGGATTCTAGGTTTACATACAGGTTGCTATATCTCGCCGCATTTAGTTATAGTTTAGTTATATAATTCATTGGAATAAAATAATATAATCAATAAAAAATTGATATATGAGGCTTTCACTCTACGGCATCGATAAAAATGCCCTTGACGAACACAACTGTTTATATACCCCTTATATAATTTATATTCTAGCATAAAAAACTAATAATTATTCGTGAACCAGTCCCGCTGATAAAATTCTTTTGATATCTGTATTTTGCTTGGTGAAGAATCAAAAGTTTGTGTTTCAGTTATTTACAGTTTTAACTTTATTGAGTTATAATGTGTGATTATAGATGACTCATTTTCATTATTTGTGTATTAGACTTTATAACATTTTAAACTTAACACTGACCATGTTCTTTTTTTTTAACTTTCAACTACTTAAGTACGTAAGCGGGCTTAAAAAACATTTATCTTCATAAAAAAGTTGATTATTGTAATTCCATAGTTTTTCTATAAAAAACCCGTGTTCAAATAACGTAGGAGACACAATTTGGACGATATCTTTATCAAAATCTCCCTCAGATTGGTCCACAATTTTATAACTATCCTGTATTTGTTTAAATAAATTTATAGCGTCTTCGATATTACATTTTGGATGGCTAAGGAAGACTATCCCATTACCAATATATACTGTATCAAACACAAAAAACAATAAATAGAGTAAACCTACTAAAAAGTGAGTTATAAAAGGAATATTAACTAAAATTATATTTTTCTCTTTACTTATACTAGCAAATAATCTTTCGAAAAACTGTTTTTGGAAGATTGATAAAGACTCATAATTAAACTCAAATATATTTATAACGTTATTCGTTTCGCTTAACAAATTTACAATATTATAATATAAATGGGAGGGTTTTGTATTTCTACGAAAAAAATTAACAACTTTTTGAAGATTATTATTGTGAGTAAACTTTGAATTATGAGCAGTATTAATCTTTTTACCAATCACTATATCCAAAATATGTTTTAATGTTCTCTTTTTGTTTATATTCTCCACGTTTATATAATTTATGTTTTTGATCTTTTTAGTCGAGTGCATTCTCCAATTCTCTGCAACGCACACATTTGGCACAATTTTTAAATCATCCTTAATGGGTTGCAATTCATATTTGGTAACATAAATTTGAGCTATAAACGATTTAATCATGTAAATATTGTCATAGCTTTTGTGCTCAAAGTTATGAATGTTATCTAAGATAGTTAGGACTTGTTTTTTCATAAAAAAATCTGAACATTTATGAATTTCACTTAAAAAGGTTTGAGGAATTTCAGCTATTGCAAACATTGAATTGGAATTAAAAATATTGATGTCTTCATATGCTGAAAGTAGGTTAGGCCATATTGTTTTAATTAAATTAAATCCTTTGAATTTTGTATTAACTACATAAAGTTCTGAATTTCCGCTTTTCGATGTACAGGGTTTAAAAATGGCAACGTTTTCAAATAAACAATTTAAAAGAAACAGTAAGTTGATGGTGGTTTCTTCAAACATGGTGAAAATCTTCAGTACAAACGTTCCACCTGTAAATTTAAATGTCAGTTATTAAATATACAGTGCATCCATCTATAAAGAAATGTTAAAATGAGGTCATTATGTGTCTGCTTTACTTTATGATTATTTATATTACAACTAAATGTATGATTTTTAAATCAAATCGTTTACCTGTTTGTAATATGCTAAGTGCTGTTATTGTTTCACAAAAATGTAGCCTTTCTACAAGCTTTTCTTGTTCACCTGGATCACTCATACAATCCACACTGCCATCAGCAGTAACCAAGGATACCTAAAACCTTCATTTAATCAGTAGGAATCATAAATAGATAAAAGGCGTTTTCGGAAACCTACTACTATAGATCACAAATCTGGATTACCAGGTTTACCCGATGGATCATATGGATCACTGAATTTATTGCCAACGTTTTATACAAAAGTTGGAGTATTCATCCTGTTAATCGTTTATCAATTTTTTACTTGAAAGGTGACAGTCAATATTATAAACCCTTATTTGACAGTCACTACACAATAGCATCTGCAGATGACCAGTCATTCTGCAAACAGGGAGTTTTGAAAACATACTCTGTGAAAGAATACAAGTAACTCTAAAAATTATAGAACAGTGGTGCAAGGACCATTCACTGTCTATAAATCCTAAGAAGACAGAAATGGTCCTTTTCACAAGGAAAAGGATGAAAATGTGGAATTAAAACCTCCAGAATTCCTAAACACAAAACAAAACTTTGCAACAGAGGTGAAGTACCTAGGTCTCACCTTTGACAACAAGTTAACATAGAACTCGCATTTACAAAACAGAGTTAAAAGAGATGAACAATGCCGCCGAACCGTGGGGCGCACCTGGGGTTTCTCCCCCAGAGACGTCACATGGACTTACACGACTATTATAAGACCTATGCTAACATACGGTGCAGTTGTCTGGGTATCGAAAACCCGTAAACTAAAACACATTTAAAGAACAGCGGGCATTTGAAATTGTTAACTGTTCTTTACTTATTAGAAAACTAGAAAGTTTTGGTATCATTGATAGTGCTTTAAAATGGATGATAGAATATTTAGATAATAGAAAACAGAAATTAAAATTAAATAACATTTTATCTACTGAAATTACAAACGAGTGTGGTATACCGCAAGGTAGCGTGTTAGGTCCCCTACTTTTTTCATTGTATATGGATGATATCTCATTTATTGATACATGCAACGTTCTTCTGTTTGCAGATAATGTAACAAATGAAGCAGTGAAGTCAGTATATAAGTGGTGCTGCGTCAACTCATTAAAAATTAATAAAAATAAAACGAAATTCATAATTATAAGAAACGACAAGCAATACCATGACTTCAATGAATATAATTAAAATAGCAAACGATAAAATTGAGTTAGTAAAAGAAATTAAATACTTAGGTGTGATGGTAGACAATAGAATGTTTTTTAAGGAACATGCTTCATACATTATTAAAACAATAGCATTTAAAATTAACTACTTAAGTAGGCAATCTAAGCATCTAAATCAATTGATTTAGATTGATTGATTTTACCTCATTTCACTTATTGTGGAACCATCTTGTATTTACTAGACCAAAATGAAATTGGAAGACTTCAGAAACTTCTGAATAGAGGAATGAGAGTAATATTATTTTGTGATAGAAGAACACATATAACATTAATGTTAAATGCATTAAAATGGTTATCTGTTAAAATCACTTTCTTTATCTAACATTAATATTTATTTTTAAAATAAAAACTGGTGATGTTCCTGTATATTTACGTGACAAATTAAAATATAATTTTGAATTTCATGAATACAATACAAGAAGCCGCACTAACTTTCATATACGTCAGGCTAGTAGTGTCAATTCAAGTAACACAGTTTTCATTAAAGGAGTTCGAGCCTTTAATGAACTGCCGGAGGAAATTAAGAATGCTACTTCGCTTAATATATTTAAGAGGAAATTAAAAGGGTGCATGTTAGAACAACAAAAGAAGTAGTGTAGGAACCTACTAATACACTTTTTTTATTCATTGTGTTGTTGTTATTTGTATATTTTATTGTATATGGTTTAACATTTTTATTGTAATTTTAAAAATTTTTTTTACCTAGATTAAGACTACTGGATTGTTATATTTGTATTAGCTTGCTGCTAAATAAATGATACACACATATATTACTAATCTACACGCAGAAAGGGGCACAAAATACTGATCTCGATCACAAAATACTGATCTTTATCACAAAACTTGATTAATCTACTAGTTTTCAAAAATGTATAGGTTAGTAACCATAGGTAAACGAACAGTAATCTTTCTGAACTGAATAAGTTTCTGAAAACGCCTAAAGTAATCATTTGCTGACAATCTGCAACTTAATGTAGTACCATTGAACTTACCTGGGATTCTTTTTTTAAATTGATTAGATATTTAAAATTATAAAATTTTGTCAGATCTCCAGAAAAATCACTACCAAAAACCCAATTGTCCAAAGTATGCCTTATAAATCTGTCATCTGGTATCATTTCACATAATTCATTCCCTTCATAGTTGGGGTTTAAAGTATTTGCATTCCATGTCCACTACAAAAACTTCATTATACTGGGTGTTGTAAATATTATTTCACAGCCAATAACTCTTAAACATTCAAGTCATCTTTTATTGTTACTTATTGACAACCATTTTAACGTAAGGTTAAGTGCCGCAATAGTAAAGATTTTAAAGTACCCATGGGTAACTTTTTCATATAAAATAGTAAACCTGCTATGTATGAGCCATATGAGTCCACATTGGACTCTCAGAAGCACAGGCCACAGAGTTCTAGACCAACTGGTGGAGCCCAAAACGATAGTGTGTATTTTAAATGGGTTCGAGAAGCCGACAAGGAGCTACACATTTTCTGATAAACTAGCATGTGAGCCAAAGTTGGACTCACACTGTCTGGATATCACTTTTATATGTGAGTCCCTGTTGGCTTCTCATGGCACTTAACTTGTTAAGTTATTCATTATTTTTTCATCCTAAGACTCAGAACTAACTTTAAGAGATATTGGCTCACATAAAATGTTTATAATGATAATCAAATTTAAAGTAATATGCCTCTTTGTAAATGAATCGCTTATTATTTAACAAATCCAACAAATCCCTTAAACATATTATAGAGATAATTGAAAAAAACTGCTTAACCATTTCCACTTCTTCCTTTCAAAGCTTTAGTTATTTATAAATCGAAATAAAACAAAAATTATGTTAAAGTCTTCGAGCATATATTACTAGAGCCATCATCCAAATGGACTTTGTTTTGGTACAGGGGGGAAAAATAGTGTCTAGCATTCCCATTGGTCTTTTTCGTTTTGCTTGGCATGTCAAATCGTTCGAAATTGTCATTTGATTTTCATTAATTTCTAGCTTATTTTTGTAGTTTATAAGTGATTTTTTGTATTTTATTACTTTACTGATACAAATTTTAACAATGGTGAGAGTTTGTGTAAGTTGTAAATAGAAATAAGAAAAGGCAACGTCAAGGACATTTCACAAGTAAGTAACCATTAGCGTCTCTACCATTTTTTTTTAAAGAAACATTGTACCTACCTTTTATCTAAAAGGCCGTTAAACATGAATTTAAAATAAATGGTAAATTTAGTGAATTAAATTTAAAAAACTTGTATTATGTATGAGGAATATTGTTTTTGATTTTGGACTCTACTGAAAAGTTAAATAATTTTTCAATATAAACAATCTTTTTGTTTTTAAGTCATTTTATCATGATAATGTTGAAGATGTTAAATCAATATTTTTTGTTTTTTGCAGGTTTCCAGTTAATCCTGCCGAAAAACGCATTTGGTGAAACATATTAAAACTTACTCCAGAAAACATTTCAAATAGTGATGTTTTATGTTCCAATCATTTTTCTGGATATATATTTATGTCAAAGATTGGATGCGAAGGAAGAACTAGATTAGTTCCAGGTGCATTGCAATCAGCATTTACTGAGGCCCCAGAAGAAGATAAATCTTAAAGGTAAAGAACCCTGCACTTTTCTTGTGAGTTAATCATTCAAAATTTTTTATTTTTCAGTGATGATCTGAACCATGAACCCTCTGTTGCAGAAAAAGAAAATGCAGAATTAGAAAACATATAAGTAACAAAGTACTTTTTAATACAACATAAATTTTATGTTAAAATAATTACAACAAAATTTGACAATAATTTTAATGTTGAAATACATGGTCAATTTTTATATATGAAACAAAATTTGATTTTTCTCGAAAACGGTCGACTTTAGAGCGTATGACCAAGAGTACCTTTTTTGTGTAGAAAACATTGGCGGTTCAAATGGGCGTCTCAAAACCGTACTTTTTCCAGTGGCGTAGAAATTATTTTTCAATTTCAACACCCTGTATTTCGAAAATGGTGCATTTTAGAGGGTAAGTTAATAGAAACGTTTTTTCATATTTTTGGATGAGCTATCACGTCCTGAAGTCCTGCGCATATATTATGAAACACCCTGTATATGCTCGAAGGTTAAAGTTGACAAAAAGCCTATTTTCAAAAATTGACATGTCAACTCAAATAAATTTTTTGTTTGTTTTTGCTTCATATCATTTTATTTGAAATGAAGGATAAATTTATAACATTAAACAACTTCTGGATCTATTTCACCATCTACAGTAGGCAATAAAAAAAATTCTTGGTAAAAACTTTGAAATCCATAGTAACAACAAATCCCTAGCTATATCGGACTTCAAAAACTTCAATGGGGCTTGCATGTATGATAACTGTTTGTAATTGTCTAATTTCACAAGCAAAAGATGTACATTGCTATTTCAAATATATTTGTGGTAAAATGTCAATTTACATCATAGTGGGTTTGTCCAGTTTCTTAAATAAGAGATTCAAATACTTATGGGTAAATATTAAAAAACAACTAACATTCAAACCTGGATAATTTAAAATCAAGTAATGATTTAGAGCACAGACAAAAGCTCCAGGTGCTTCACATAAATGCAAGCTCTCAAATTTCTTGTTACTAACAGCACAAAGAGGAACAACTGGAAAATTACCCAAAATTTCATAAAATTTACACCATGCCTAAAAATATAATCCATTAACACAATGCTAAACTTTTTAGACAACTTAATGCTTGTGGTTTTAATTAGTAAATTACTTGTGTAAGAAGTTCTGGTTTAATTTCTTCCGATAACTTCTTTATGACAAAACCTGCACGATCCCTGTTCGCAGTGTGTTTGGACCATACTTTTAATTGATATTTCCCAAGAAGACTTTTAACTTTGTTTAATTCCTGTTTTTTTCTTTGTAATTCAGGAATAGACCATTTTGGTGATTCAAATAAACTATGAGGAAGAACGCAATCATGGACACTTTTAAAAGAATATATTTTATTAAAATCATCCTCGTATTCACTCATTTTTTATATTTGTCCTTTTTAACTGTTTTAAACATAAATTTTTATTTTTATTCGGTAAAATAACAAATAACCTTAAAAAATAAAATCTTTTTTCTTTTTTAATATGATCTCTAATTTTCTAAGGTATTGCGAAATTCTTCTTCCCTACGTTTAGACATTACTCTTATATGATTCCATTTATTAAATTCCTAATATACTATCAAGCAAAAGGTCACTAACAAAAAGAAGAAAGTTGCCTTTTACAGTTCCTTACTACAGTTTCGTGCAGGGCCGACCGAGCCTAATTTGTCTAGAAGAAATACCAAATTTCTTCAAGAAAAAGACTACAAAATTTGAAAAGTATAGAAGAAAGAAAATAACCTCATATTTTTTTTCTTTCATTTGAATTTAAAATTTTCTAATTTCCGCTGGAAAATGCAGGTATTTCTTTTAAAAATATAGTATAGTTTCATATGTTTGTAAACATTTTAGCTAATTTTGTAGCCAAATTTACATATCTTACCTTTACTTTTTCAGGTCTAGTTTGGGACTTTATAATGGCCTTAAGTTGTCATAAAACTTGATCTAAAATCTAGAAAAGGGAAAAATGAAATTAAAACATTAAGAAGATAACCTGTTGTGGGAATGACTGTCAGGAATTCTACAAAATCGCCATATGATACTTGCAAAATAGAAGTACACAAATACATAAGGTAAGTACTAAGTACCTATTAAGATAGAGCTTTGTTCTGGTAGTTTTATGTTCATATCCTGATATATAAATTAGAAATAAAGAGAGCAATGTTTTAACCATGCCCTTTGGATTATAGGCATAGGATATTTGCATGTATATTGTGGTCCACCTACCTATTATTCTATTTATCTCTAATCAATACTGTTGTGTTTTTATGCTGGTCTGAGATTGTAAGGAAAGAGTTAACATAGTATATAGTGTATTATTAAAATTTTTTAGGTCTTATATTGTAAAGTACTTAATAATAATGACAGATTTATAATATCTTGATATAATTTTGAAGATTTATAATAAATGCCAATTTGTTTTAAGATTTTTTTAATTTAATAATGTCAATTGCTATTTATAATGTTTTGAGAAAACAGTCTGCCTTTAACCCTTGATTTACAATTATCAAGATGTGTAGGAAAGCAAATTTAAAGTTTAAAGTTGAACTAAATACAAATGTTTTATACTTTTAGGTAATTGATTACTAAAGATGTTAGTTTGTATATATTGGCTGCATGATTATATCAATTAGTTTACTAGACAATTATTTTTTAATATTAATATTGAATGTGCCAATCGAACAGTAGAAAAAGTCCCAGAATGCATAATTTTAAACGCACTTTTATGCTCTTTATTTGCGTATTACATGGAAATATACAGGTATTATACAGAAGATGGCGGTACCAGTTCAATTTTGACAAAAATGTGACTGCCCCTTTTTTCCTGTACCCTCCAATTAATGTTCTTTACTTGCTGATAGTTTTAAGATATCCATTATTTTCAGGGATATCCTGCAACTGATCAAATTATTACAAACGATTTTAGATTTAGAGATTAGAGCAGTGTTGCAAGACCTGCTGTTTTAATACAGTATGGTCCAAAATAAACAGTATTCACTTAGTAGCATGTAATTGTCAAAAACTACCAGATCTTACCTTTCCAGACACAATGACCAAAGAAGCAGTCTTCAAAAATACACCATAAACCATCAATGAGTTAAAGGAGGTATTTCCAATATTCAAGGAGGTCTAAATAATTAATATTTCTTAAATAAAAGAATTATATAAGTTCAGTAATGTTTATTTTGGGCCTATTGTAGTAGATCTACTGTTTTGTCTCTGTTCTACTGGTTTCCTGACTTTAGTTTTACAAATTTTATTTATTTAATTATTTGTAATTTTTGTTTAATTTATAATTAAAGTATAACATTCAAAAATTTTCATTTTTTGTTTCTTATATGAATATTTTCCTCCTATATTAAAATCTACTACTGCTTTTTCCCACCCATCTAATGTTCCAGCAAATTTTTGATCTAGCAACACTGGGTGAAAGGGCTGTTGATTCCTTTTTGATCTAACTAAAGGTTTTGCATTATTTTTTCTGTTTATATCTAACAAATATTTTTATGCTTTCAGAAGTTGAAATTCCATCATCCAGCAGTACCTTCAAGAATGATTATTGGAGGAAAGACATAATTTCCTAGAAACAAATCTCCAGGTTTTCCAGTGGGTCCACCTGCTCCTGCTTAATGATGATAAATGTTAATAATAGGCCCGTTTTTTAATTATGTAAAATTATTTGTTTGCTATAATTTCTTACTTTTAAGTGAATAATTCAAATTTTTCTTTAAAAAAATGTTTTTCCTATTGTATACTCTTTATTTTGTATGCATATGTACAATATTTATGTCACGTTATTGAAATTTGTCTTAAATTATATATTTAACTTTGTATTTTTTATAAATAAACATCTTCTTAAACGTCTTATTTTATTTCATATATTAAAAAATGCTTTGAAAAATTAAAAAAAAAATTAAAATCTGCATTCGCATAGAATGCAACCCCTGGAGCTCAAAAATATACTCAGTTTTTTTCTAACAGCAATAATAAAAAAGTTGTGACTCATTTAGCAAAAAGTATCGAAGATGGAGAGAAGCAGACACCTGCCAGACATTTTAAATGAAATACTGTACCTGTGTGCCAAATTTCATAAAGATCTGAGCAAAAATAAAAAATTTTCGATATCTCGTCGCGTTTCTATTATCCTGATACAAAGTTCCGAATTCGAAAAGATCCAATTTTGTCTTAAAATTTTCGTACCAGGATAGCAGAAACGCGACAAGGTATTTGACTTTATTTTAAATGTAAATAACTACTAAACGGCGCAAGATAGAGGCAAGCGGTAAGGGGCATTTTAAACTATCCGTCCGGCTCTATCTCTATGTGAATTTATGGAATAATTCGATCATTATTAACTGAGGAATTAATAAAAAAAAGTTAACTCTTATAGCTAGGGAGCAACTGGGTTCACCCCTTAATTACTCTTGTTTTCTTTTATATGTACTCCAATTTTCATCAAGATCGGAGACAAAAAAATTTTTGAAGGCTATACCCTTTCGATTTTTTTGAAAAAATAAAAAACTGTTTAAATTTTCATATGGATAGAGGGTCACATGTAGATCTCAGAAATACACTCAGTTTTTTTTTAACAGCAATATTAAAAAAGTTGTGGCAAAAATAAAAATTTTCGATATCTCCTCGCGTTTCTATTATCCTGATACAAAGTTCCGAATTCGAAAAGATCCAATTTTGTCTTAAAATTTTCGTACCAGGATAGCAGAAACGCGACAAGGTATTTGACTTTATTTTAAATGTAAATAACTACTAAACGGCGCAAGATAGAGGCAAGCGGTAAGGGGCATTTTAAACTATCCGTCCGGCTCTACCTCTATGTGAATTTATGGAATAATTCGATCATTATTAACTGAGGAATTAATAAAAAAAAGTTAGGTCTTATAGCTAGGGAGCAACTGGGTTCACCCCTTAATTACTCTTGCTTTCTTTTATATGTACTCCAATTTTCATCAAGATCGGAGACAAAAAAATTTTTTGTCAAAAATTTTTGAAGGCTATACCCTTTCGATTTTTTTGAAAAAATAAAAAACTGTTTAAATTTTCATATGGATAGAGGGTCACATGTAGATCTCAGAAATACACTCAGTTTTTTTTTAACAGCAATATTAAAAAAGTTGTGGCAAAAATAAAAATTTTCGATATCTCCTCGCGTTTCTATTATCCTGATACAAAGTTCCGAATTCGAAAAGATCCAATTTTGTCTTAAAATTTTCGTACCAGGATAGCAGAAACGCGACAAGGTATTTGACTTTATTTTAAATGTAAATAACTACTAAACGGCGCAAGATAGAGGCAAGCAGCAACGGGCATTTTAAACTATTCGTCCGGCTCTACCTCTATGTGAATTTATGGAATAATTCGATCATTATTAACTGAGGAATTATTAAAAAAAAGTTAACTCTTATAGCTAGGGAGCAACTGGGTTCACCCCTTAATTCCTCTTGCTTTCTTTTATATGTACTCCAATTTTCATCAAGATCGGAGACAAAAAAATTTTTTGTCAAAAATTTTTGAAGGCTATACCCTTTCGATTTTTTTGAAAAAATAAAAAACTGTTTAAATTTTCATACGGATAGAGGGTCACATGTAGATCTCAGAAATACACTCAGTGTTTTTTTAACAGCAATATTAAAAAAGTTGTGGCAAAAATAAAAATTTTCGATATCTCCTCGCGTTTCTATTATCCTGATACAAAGTTCCGAATTCGAAAAGATCCAATTTTGTCTTAAAATTTTCGTACCAGGATAGCAGAAACGCGACAAGGTATTTGACTTTATTTTAAATGTAAATAACTACTAAACGGCGCAAGATAGAGGCAAGCGGTAAGGGGCATTTTAAACTATCCGTCCGGCTCTACCTCTATGTGAATTTATGGAATAATTCGATCATTATTAACTGAGGAATTAATAAAAAAAAGTTAACTCTTATAGCTAGGGAGCAACTGGGTTCACCCCTTAATTACTCTTGTTTTCTTTTATATGTACTCCAATTTTCATCAAGATCGGAGACAAAAAAATTTTTGAAGGCTATACCCTTTCGATTTTTTTGAAAAAATAAAAAACTGTTTAAATTTTCATATGGATAGAGGGTCACATGTAGATCTCAGAAATACACTCAGTTTTTTTTTAACAGCAATATTAAAAAAGTTGTGGCAAAAATAAAAATTTTCGATATCTCCTCGCGTTTCTATTATCCTGATACAAAGTTCCGAATTCGAAAAGATCCAATTTTGTCTTAAAATTTTCGTACCAGGATAGCAGAAACGCGACAAGGTATTTGACTTTATTTTAAATGTAAATAACTACTAAACGGCGCAAGATAGAGGCAAGCGGTAAGGGGCATTTTAAACTATCCGTCCGGCTCTACCTCTATGTGAATTTATGGAATAATTCGATCATTATTAACTGAGGAATTAATAAAAAAAAAGTTAGGTCTTATAGCTAGGGAGCAACTGGGTTCACCCCTTAATTACTCTTGCTTTATTTTATATGTACTCCAATTTTCATCAAGATCGGAGACAAAAAAATTTTTTGTCAAAAATTTTTGAAGGCTATACCCTTTCGATTTTTTTGAAAAAATAAAAAACTGTTTAAATTTTCATATGGATAGAGGGTCACATGTAGATCTCAGAAATACACTCAGTTTTTTTTTAACAGCAATATTAAAAAAGTTGTGGCAAAAATAAAAATTTTCGATATCTCCTCGCGTTTCTATTATCCTGATACAAAGTTCCGAATTCGAAAAGATCCAATTTTGTCTTAAAATTTTCGTACCAGGATAGCAGAAACGCGACAAGGTATTTGACTTTATTTTAAATGTAAATAACTACTAAACGGCGCAAGATAGAGGCAAGCGGTAAGGGGCATTTTAAACTATCCGTCCGGCTCTACCTCTATGTGAATTTATGGTATAATTCGATCATTATTAACTGAGGAATTAATAAAAAAAAGTTAACTCTTATAGCTAGGGAGCAACTGGGTTCACCCCTTAATTACTCTTGCTTTCTTTTATATGTACTCCAATTTTCATCAAGATCGGAGACAAAAAAATTTTTTGT